TGTCTTTTTGTTGCTTTCATTCCTATTTCTATCCAGGCCTTTGCAGCTCACCTTTGTCTCATTAGTGCTGCCTCCACCACCACAGTTCAACAACTGGGGGCTGTAATTTAGAGGTGAAGAACAGGCACCAAACACAGTAGCCAAGCTGCACCTCACAAATTAAAGGATCTGCCCTTCTTGATGGTTTTCAATTGAGAAAATGGGATTTCGTTACAAAGACAATGCCTGTGAAAGTTGGTGAGCACAAAAGGGCACTTCTAAGTACAGTGTTTTATGTGTTCAAACCATGTGGCTAAAACTTGACTGGATTTTGCATTCTGCAAGAATTAAGGGGATCTCTGCAGGGAATTTATTCTGCATAACATATTTCTGGAAGGATATAATAGAAACCAGTATCAGGAGTGACCTCTGGAGAGGATGAATCAAGTTCAAGAGGAAGAAAAGGATCTCGATGTTTACAGTATACCCTTTGAGTTCTGGGCCCTATATATAGTTCATCATTTGTAACAAAATAATTTTAAACAATAATTATTATTAAATTTAAGGCTGAAGAGATAGACTAATCCCCAAAGTCTTGCCACACAAGCAATAGAACCCCCCAAGGAGGAATGATACACACACACACACACACACACACACACACACACACACACACACACACACCATAATCAAAGAATAAGTTAATAAAAACACCAAATTAGTGAATTCCCAGGTTCTCTGCCATAACTCAGTCTCCTTGTGTGTCCACGGCACTCATATAATTGGAAAGGAAAGTTCTCCAGAAGTCAGGACAGACAGAAGCGAAACAGTATCTTCTGAAACATGACAGAACTGCATCACTCATGAGCTCGTGGGCAACTGTGACTATATGCACAAGTCAAGCCAATCAGCATTCTCATGTGGAGAGGGGAGGAGCTCAGGAATCATCCTGCTTGTGGGTGGGGACTAGTGCATAACTGAGGATCTTTGGATAGCCAATGGCTTTTGGGGAGGGAAGTCAGTTTTCTTTATGAGTGTGGCCTCTGGTGTATCAATCCTGCTCTGGTTGATAGCTTCCAGACCTAGAACTATCTAGGCAGCACAAATTGGACTCAGGTGGTTATAAATACAGAGAAGAAACAAAGTTAGGGAGGTAGAGGGACTGGAGTGGATTTGAGTGGAGTTATGGGAAGGAGTAGGGGCGAATATGCTCAAAATACACTGTACTAAATTCTCAAATAATAAAAAATTCAACTTCTCAATACTTTAATAGTACAATCTTCAAGTTCACTTCTGAACTCCAGAACTGAAGTCTTCTTTATTGGGAAATGCCAACCCTGAGTATCTCAAAGACAGCATAGTCCAACCCAAATCCTCCTCCTTAATTTCCTCATCCCCCCAAGCTCTGTCTTCTTCCAGTATTCTTAATAATTACTAAAAATAACAAGCCATTTACTTTCTCAATAAAAACTTTACCACTACCGTAGGGGCCCTCCCTCTCCTTGTCTTTAACTGCAGTCACAAAAATATCATTAAGCCCTTTCCTACAGGGTTAAGAGAATATGAACTAGACACCCCACTAGTGTACTGCTTCTCCCTAGCTCAACACTGAATGTGATGCTTGTGAACAGCCCAGCTAACGATCCACACTTCTGCAGAGCCAGTCCTCTCTCTCAAACGCAAATACGGCAACTGTCAGAACCTTGGACAGTTCCCAGCACCTGCCAAAACCCAAAACCCCTTTGCCTATGTTGACAAATGACTGTGATGTACTCTGATGGCTCCCACCCTCTGATATAAGCTGTGCCCTCTCCACTCTGCTCTACAAAACCTGCTACTAATACCTTCTGCCTGCCTCCACAACTTCAGGTTTGCTCTTCCCTTGACTTGGAAAGCCTTCCTTTTTTCTCTTTCCAGCAGACCTTGCTCACCATTCCCAACTTCTATTCTGGGTTCCATTCTCTCTGAATGGTTCTATCCTCTGGGATCCTCTTCTAAATGCTTTGCATGTACCCAAGCAATAGCCCTAAACAAACTCTTTTCTGATTATTTGTGATTCTATCTCCCTTGCCAGATGTAAACTGCCTTTAAAAAAAAAAAAAGCAAACTATATTGTATTCATCTTTAAATTGACTGTACCTCCCTGCTAACACTGTACATAAATATTGCTGAATGAGTTGGCTGTAAGTACTTGGTAAAAACGTAACACATTATCTCAAGATGTTATTATAGACTTCTGTGGCTAAAATCTCACATTTTTGGCCCTCTCTTTCTGCATACCTATTGGCACGCTATCATGGTCTCAGGAGGGCCAGTTACTCAAAGAGAGCTAACAAAGTGCCTGCTATTTGTAAACAGGGCCATTTGTAAACCCTCTGGGCTAGATTTAGAGATTGCCTTTCTAACTCTGACAACACTCCTTTGAGCTTTCTACTAAGAAGCATTTCTTTTCCAAATGTCTGGAGTCCTATAAGTAACCTTTGTTTACCCTGAAACACTTTCAGAGAAGCTGAATAGAGCTTAAAAAAAACAATGTAGTGACCCTACAGGGACCCACCTGGCTAGCTACTCGTGCCAACATAGGAGGGGGATGGGAGCACCAGAAGCTCAGCTCTAATCCCTGCCCACCTCTTCCACTATCAGCCACTTAACAGCTCAGACCTCGAGGGCTCTCTGCTCCCCAGTGAAGACCTTGGCAGCCCATAAATCATGTGCTTATTCAAGGAAAACAGCATCATAAGCAAAGTGATAACTTGAGTGCCTTGAAGAACCGTGGGCAAGAAATTAGCCTAAAATTGGGGTGAGGCATTCATCTGAAGGGGGCCCAGGGAGGCAGACAACCATGGCAGCTTGCAGCCTCGGGGTCTTTCCTTCCCTGCTCACTCTTCTGACTTAGAATTCTCTACCCTGCAATATTTGCACTCAGATCTCTGCTTCAACATTGTCTGTCAAGGGCACCCTGGGGACCCACAGCAAAAGGTCAAACAATTGATTCTCCATATCCTCCTCCTGCTCCATCTGCCTTCACAGTACCCAGCACTTGTTGGTGCGACTGACACCTCACATCATATTATTACCTGTCTGTTTACATACCAACCATTGATTCCTATCCCATCAGCCCAGGGCAGCAAGATGTGGTCTTTTTCCCAACCTACCCAAGCACATAGGTGTTTCCCAATAAGCACTACACTTTTAAGTATGGTAAGTAAAATGTAGGGCATCTGGCACTTGTAGACTATATAATCCCATTTATTATAGAGTTAACTGTTTAACCATTGGGGTTCACAGTTCACCATCCCCACCACCACCCCCCACTGCTCACCCACAACCATTATATGACACAATCTTATGGCTTCTCTGTCTACTCTTAGCCCCCCACCCCCACTCCATGGCAAGGAAAGGGCCACAAAATGAGATTTTTGAGCAAAGCTGACAGGCAAAAAAAAAAAAAAAAAAAAAAAAAAAAAAAAAAAAAACTTCAAATGCTTCATTGCTTTCTGGAAGTGATAAACAGAATGGGAGAACATTCAAGAAGCTAAGAATACCAGGTAGTGGTAGTGTATTAATCCCAGCTGTCAGGAGGCAGAGGCAGGCAGATGTCTAAGTTTGAGGCCATCCTGGTCTACAGACTGAGTGCCAGGACAACCAGGGCTACACAGAGAAACGGAATCTCAAGAAAACCTAAGGAAGAGGAGGCAGGAGAGGAAACTAAGAACTGCAGAAAAAGCATAACAGAATTTTGAGTTTGAGAATGATGAAAAAGGATTAGAAGAGCTTAATAAGGTACCATGATGTGTGCAGGTGAACCTCAACCTCCTGAATCCATGGGGAATCTCCCAACAAGAGGCACATGTGTCCTAGCTCTATGCCGATATTTCCCTTCCTTTTCTCATCTGCAATGAAGACTCCTAGTAATGGGGGATACGGAGGCCGAACTGGCCATCCTCTACAGCCAGGAAAGGCTTCCAATGGAGGGATTGGGACATCAACCCAGGCACAAAACTTTCAACCTATTTGTCCTATCTGCAGATGTGCTGGGGAGTAAAGGTGACTCAGAGCCAGTAAGAGTAGCCAACCAATGATTGGTCTAACTTGAGACTCATGCCACAAGAGGGAACCAACACCTGACACTGTGGAAGACCAGGAACTAGAGGTTGGATAACCCAGAGACCTGGGTTATAACCAAGCACATCCAGGGGGAAAAGTCAGTGATACTTCGCTATACTTGTAGACTGGAGCCTATCATAATCAGAGAGGTTTCATCCAGCAACTGATGGGTGCAGATGCAGAGACCTACAGCCAATTAGGCAGAGTTCCAGGAACCCTTAGAAGAGAGGGAAGAATTTTAAGTGCTAAAGGACATAAGAAAATGACCCACAGAATCAACCAACCAGGGCTCACAGAGACTGAGCCAAGAATCAGAGAGCCTGTGTGCGTCTGAGTTAGGTCCTCTGCATAAATGTTATGGTTGTGTAGCTTGGTGTTCTTGTGGGACTCCTAACAGTGGGAGCAGGGGATGTCTGGGTCTTTTGTCTGCTTTTAGGACCCTTTCCCTAGTACTGAGTTGCCTCACCCAGCCTTAATATGAGGAGAGGTGCCCAGTCTTATTGCAACTTGATATGCCATGTTTGGTCAATATCCCTGGAAGGCCTGCCAATTTTTTTGAAAGGAAACAAAGGAGGAGTGGATCTGGGGTAGAGGGGAGGTCGAGGGGAAGGCCTGGGGAGGGGGAACTATAATCAGGATGTAATATATGGTGAAGGGAAGGGGAGCAGAGGGGAGCAGAGTAGAGGGCAGGGGAAGGTGAAGACTGGCCCAAGCACCACATTAAGTGTTGCAACAAAGTAAAAGACATGAACCAAGCTAGAGTATCAGAGGCCCGAGGTACCAGATGAAGATGCTGATCTTTCTTCAGACAAGTGCTATGGTTCTCACTGCTAAAAATATGAAATCAAGTCAAGTAAGCATCTTTACACGGCAGTGACCCTCATATGCAGCTTAGCTCAGAACACAGTACTCACGGTTCTGGGGTGTAGAGGGGATCAGAGCCATGCCTCACATACTGAGTACAGTGGAATACTCTATAGGCCAGGCCAGCCAGGAAGTCTCTTGGGCTCAGGTAGCCAGCCACTGGTCTCACTGTGAAGCCAGACCGCTCTAAAGAGACAAGAGAAAGAACCAACTAAATTCAAACCTCAGAACCTGAGGGCCCACACCCGAGTTGTTAGCATAAATATTTTCAATTTTTTTCTTTTGTTAATCTTTTGAGAACTAGAAGCTCATTTACCATTTCTGATGCTTGGTATGTGTACTTTTACCCTTTGGAAAAAGTCTTTGGCAATGACAGTCATTAAATAATATATTCATGCATGATGAATTTTTAGGGTCTCTTATTTGTAAGGATGTTCCAGAAACAAAGCCATCCAGGTTTTAAAACTTCTGATGAATGGATGACATCTCCTATTAACAGAAATCACGTTTGTGGACTCTAGTGACTAAAATATGCTTATGCTCACCAATGACGGTTTCCAGGAGAACAAGATTGTTCATTAAAAAGGAAGGGTAGGGGCTAGAGAGATGGCTCGGAGGTTAAGAGCACTGTCTGCTCTCCAGAGTTCCTGGGTTCAATTCCCAGCACCCACATGGCATCTCACAACTGTCTGTAACTCAAGTTCCTAACACCCTTATACAGACATACACATGCAGGCAAAACAGTAACATACATAAAAAATAATAAATAAATAAATAAAAGAAAAGGTGAAAGTATTTTTAGGGACTTAAATTCAGAAGCCAAATCAGGATAAGAAAACTCAAATATATTGGAGAAGGAGATTATAGCCTAGAATGGTGCCTACTACAAAGTCCCAATTTCATTCCCTGGGGATCCACCAGTGTTGAGTAACACACAGCTGAGTCTCTCACTCCACGAACGTCTTGGAATTGTTTCCTCTGTAGCTTTTGTACAAGTCCCTCCTAGCGTCTTTATGTATGTTGCTCTGTGTTTGGCACAAAGAATCACAGTTTCCAAGTGGTACTGAAGCACTATATACTACAGTGCTTTAGGGTAGAAAGAAAACAAGAATACGATAAAATCAGAAGCCACCATTAGCTAAATAAATCTACAGATCATCAATGTCTCAGTTTTATTAAAAATATGTAAGGTTTTATTGAAATACTATGTTTTAAAATGGTTATTTTATATTGATTGCCCTCTTCTTGAGAATATGGTTGTTTTTAGTAAAAACATAGGTGTTTAAAATGTCAAACATGTTTTTGTAAACATACACACAGTCAAGTGATTGCAATAGTCAACCTAATATACCTATCACTGCATAGTTCCATGTGCATGGTAAGAGCACCATAGAAATCTACTCTTAGGGGCTGGGGAGATGGCTCAGCGGTTAAGAGCACTGGCTGCTCTTCCAGAGGTCCTGAGTTCAATTCCCAGCAACCACATGGTGGCTCACAACCACCTTGAATGAGATCTGGTGCCCTCTGCTGGTATGCAGGCAGAAGACATAATAAATAAATAAAATCTTTTTTAAAAATCTACTCTTAGCAAATTGCCATTATGTAACAGTGTGCCCAGCCATAGTCAGTGTGAGTTAGGTCTCTAGACTTACTCACTGAGCATGACAGCAACTTGGTATCATTTGACAAACATCTTCCCCACCACAGTAACCACTGATTTATTGTCTAGCTCTGTATCCATATATCCCATTGTTTTAGATTCCATGCACAACAGGGCCTTCTATTCTTTGGCTGTCCTCTTAGTGTGGTACCCAGGAGGGCTTTCCCTAGATTCGAGCATTGCACAGCACTCCCTACCCCCACCCTTCTGAAAACTTTGTTATTAGAGAGCACCTCAGGGTGGATGGAAACAGCAATAAGAGGCAAAGCCAACTAGGTTTATAAAACAAGCCCACCCTGGGATTTCTGGTACAAAGTAGAAATAAGACTGTTCTCGGGCGTCCCTGGAGAACGTAATTCCAAGTAGCATTATGTTTATGCCAAAAATTTCCAACTTGGATTATTCCCGTGTCAAAGGGATAAACATATCTTCTTCATTTCCTATATTACATCAGTATGGCAGCATATCCCACATGTGAGGCATGAGTTCATGTATCAAGGAATATTTTTTATTTTAATAGTTTTGTACTTTATTTCATGTAAATTAGAAAAATACAAAATTTTGTCATTCAGAACTTTGACTCTAGTACTGGCTTAGAAGTTTCTGCTTTATATAAAGGAGGTTTTTTTATGAGTTAATTAAAAGAAACTCAAACCCACACACTTGAACTTGCCTCATTTCTGCTATGAGCCAGAGAGTGATTCAGACTAAACTCTACACTGTCTTGCATGAAAATAGCAACTTGGGAGAACGATATGGCAAAAACTGTGGGATAATATTCTAACGACTAAGGCTGAGAAACAAGATGGCAAAATGTGAATTCTATAGAGTGAGAAATGGATCCCATTGTAAACATACAGATTGCATGCAGCTCTGTGGGAAGCAGGAATGTGAGCTGCAGGGCTGACAGGAGAACAGGGTAGCTACAACCACAGTAGAATTCACTGTTTCACTAGGTACTAACTAAGTGCAGCTGGTAAGTGGCTGTCTCTTCTCCGTCACAAATGCAGTGTGTAGTGGACAATGTTCACAGACTCAGGCTCCTCCTCCACAGTTGGAGCTCACTATGGCTCTCAGAGGCCCAGCTATAAAGCTATCATGCATCCTGACCCACATGAGATATAGAAGGAAAGCCATGGAAAGAGTCCTGATAGCTGTCATAGCCAGGATTGACAGGAGACAGAACTTTGAATCTTGAAGAATTAAACAGTAGAGTTTGAGCAAACATGTGAAGAGCCCACAGCAAGAGCAGAATGTTTGAGAAGGATGATGTAGAAATGATGCTGCAGGAGATGCTTGGAGATCTGGGTCAGAGCCTTACACTCAGGCTGAGCAGTTCAGACTCCTCCAAATTCAGCTCCTAGTCATGTCTGTGTGTCCTGGTGGTGTTTGGTCTGTGTGTCCCTGATGGTCAGTGGTGTTCAGAAGGTAGGGAGATATTAGCAAGCTTGAAGGACACGAAGATCAGACACCTCCCTCTCAGTCAACAGCCTATAAACCAAGAACTGGACCGAACAAGCAGGAGTCTAATCTCTTACCACAGGGATGAGATTGCAATCATCGCTCTGATCCTGGGAGGAGATACAAAGATCCTCAATACCCCCAGAAGGTTATTAATAGATAACTGTCTGGCCTGGCTCTGGGAGGTCACAACCTTGTCAGATCTCTCTCTAGCATGGGGTATTCTTTTACAGAACAAAAATAATACACATCATTGTCCCCTCCTGTAAGAGTCTATCCAAACAGGTCTGTCAATCACCTACACAGGACAAAGTCCCACAGGAAAAACTGTTTTAAAGAGTTTTGGAAATATAAAACTTAGATTGAAGCAATCATCCCTTTGGCCATTAATCTACTCTCACCCCTTGAGGGTGTACTTTGCTTTACTGTATAATAAATTCTGTTTTCTACACTATTCTCTGCGTATCTCATTATATGAATTCTTTTGACATTCGTCAGAACAAAGGGAGAGTCCAGACTGAGATCCTGATGGTATTAGAATAGATTTTGGGGCTGGAGAGATGGCTCAGCCATTAAAGACTAAGCTCACAATCAAAAATATAGAATAGTTTTTAGACTTTTTAATGCACACATTAAAATGACTATGTAACTGCCCACATAACTCCCTTGAGTTTCATCTTAGACCACAAAACTCAAAATACTTATTAATCTAGTCCTACCCTTAACAACTTTGTCAATCCCAGTTGTTTTAATTTTTTAAGTAGAGGGAGCTCTGAGAGCTTCTAAACAAATATGTGAGGGGAAAAGTAATATTTTAGGTCATGTTTCAGAGAGGGATGTTTGTGTGGAAGCAATGGGCAGGATAGTCAATGGGAAAACAACACTTAGGAATGGAGATGGCAAAATGGTAGAAACCTTAGTGTGGGTAGAAGTGGTAAAATGAGGAGGGCTAGAGAAATGGCTCAGTGGTTAAGAGCACTGGCTACCTGCCCCTTCCAGAGGTTCTGAATTCAATTCCAGCACCCACATGGTGGCTCACGACCATCTATAGTGGGATCTGATGCCCTCTTCTGGCATAAAGGCATACATGCAGATAGAGCACTCATATACATAAAAATAAATAAATCTTTTTTTCAAAAGGGTAGAATGAAAGAAAAGGCTAAGCATGTGGAGGGTGACAAAGCTGGAAGTGGCATCTGGCAGGTTCAGATAGAAACAATGATGAAAAGCTGCCAAACAGCCCTCCAACGATGCCCACAGCCTCATCACCCTGAGTCTGCAAACATGGTCTCTCTTGGAACAATAAATTTTAGAGATGTGATCGAATAATGCTTCTTGAGATGAGGATATTATCTAGGTGGGGATTTTAAATCATAAAGGTCTTTGTAAGAAGGAAGAACCAGGTAGTGGTGGCACACGCCTTTAATCCCAGCACTTGGGAGGCAGAGGCAGTCGGATCTCTGTGAGTTTAAGGTCAACCTGATCTACAAAGTGAGTTCCAGGACAGCCAGAACTATTACACAGAGAAACCCTGCCCAGGAAAAACAAAAACAAAAAAACAAAACAAAACAAAACAAACCACCTTGAAGTAGCCAAGTTAGAAATGGCATGGTGAAAATGGAAGTAAAAGCCTAGAGTGGTATAAAGAAGTAACCATGGCGGGGCTAGAGAGATGGCTCAGAGGTTAAGAGCACCGACTGCTCTTCCAGAGGTCCTGAGTTCAATTCCCAGCAACCACATGGTGGCTCACAACCATGAGATCTGGTGCCCTCTTCTGGTGTGCAGATATACATGGCAGCAGAATGTTGTATACATATTAAATAAATAAAATCTTAGAAGAAGAAGAAGAAGAAGAAGAAGAAGAAGAAGAAGAAGAAGAAGCAACCATGGGCAAAGCAGGTAGATTCCAACAGAAGCCCCCAAAAGAAATACCACCCCTTCAACTGCTTGATCATAGATGTATGATTTCCAGTAGTAAGTATAAGTAATAGTTTGTGTTTAGAAAGGGCTGAATGTAGCAAGCTGCCCATAACTGCACAAAGAGCCAAATCTATTTCTCCAGCCAAAAGTCTATCACTGAGTCAATGCTCCTCTTTTTAAGCCTCTACTTCTCCCTTTTAGAGAAGGGGCTATTGGTGTGTCGGTGCATCCTTGAAAATGGGGTTGGGGAATGAGCAGGGAAGGGCAGCCTGCGCAGTCTTACCTTTCAGGAACATGGAGACATCTTCCAGTTGAGGCACGTTGTCTTCCCGATAGCCACAGTACTTGGTCAGCAGGGGGAAGTTCTTCAGGTACTCTCGGCAAGCATGGGTAGGGTAGAGTTTAGAGAGCTCCCGGAACACAATGCCCCAAGTTTTAGTTTCTTCTTCTGTGTACTCCACCCTGGGAATGGGCTGGCCGCTAGGCAGGCGGGAAGAGAGACCGGTGAATCTAGCTTTATACCACTAGGTCAAAGAATCTGACATTCATGCAAGCCAAGTTACGCTTTTACCCACAGAGACACACATAGAGATTCCATTAAGTACTGAAATAAATGCCAATCTTCAATTCCATGTGCCTATTTGCATCTTTGTAAGAGCTTTTAATTGTCACACCTTCACATGTCCTCCTAGAAACTTGACAAGACATGATGTTGTGTATGTGCATCTGTCTTGGTGGTGGAATGTGTGCGTGTATGAAGGGTGTGCACATATACGTGAAGAGTTCAGGAGGTGACCTTTAGTGTCTTACTCTATCATGTTCTACCTTCTTCCTTTGAGGCAGGATCTCTCACTGAACCTAGAATTCAGTTTTTCAGCTAGCCTGGCTAACCACCCATCCCCAGGAATCTTTCTCTCTCCCCACAACATGCCAAGTACCGAGGTTACAAGCATACGGTAACACCCAGCTTTTCACATGGGTGCTGGAGATTCAAACCCAGGTCATCATGTTTGCCCAGAAAATGCTCCGCCCCACTGAACCATCTTCCCAGTTCCAAGACTTACGTTCTCAAGCTGAGATGGGTAACAAGTAATAACCCTGTGCTGGAAAGGGGTGGCTTATGTGTAAAACTCTTAGGGTCTTTTCTGCAACCACAAGACAACAATAATAAATGTATTCTGTTGAAAATGCAATTGCTTCCCGAGTTCTCTTTGTTCCTTGCCCAGACTCACCTCAATTTCCAAGTGTAATTTTGTGATTATTTGTTCAATGCTCAGAATGTCTGGCAAATACAAAAAGTCTATGCTGAATTTAAAAGAGTTTTCATAAACTACAAAATAAGAAACATTTATCGCAGGTCATACTGAAGGGCAGACACATGAGGCCCTCTCTTAGTTCAAGACGAGTGTTAATGAACTTCCCCTGAGAAAGGGCCAGAGAGTAAATATTTTAAGCTTTTGGGTCACGTGATTGCTATCACAATTATGCTACAGTACCTCAAAAAAAAAAAAAAGTCATAGACAAATTGTATAAGATCTGACTGGATCCTATTAAGCTCCTCTTCATGGGCCCTGTGAGCAGCAGTGTGCTGGTGGCCAGGTTTATTGACAGATCATATTGGATTAGAACAGTCATAGAATACTCCCCAGGGGAGGCACAGCTTCAGCCAACACAAGAAGACTACATAGTACCAGGAATTCCCTGATAAAATAGTAACAAAAAGGACTGATTTAACAGTAGATAGCAGCCATGAACAAAAAACATGGAACATGGCTCCCAATGTCAAGCGAGACATGTACAATAATGGGACCATTGTTGTGTATTTTTATAAGCTATTGAGTAAGGGACTTAAATATTAATTTAGCATCTGACTGTATTATCTATTCTGGATCCATATATGTCTGTAAATCCCCAGTACTTGGGAAGCCAAGACAGGGAAATGTTCAAGGAGAGCCTGGGTTATTACACTAGTCTGTGTTACATAAGTATTCTGAATTAAGGTTGGGAAAATTTACTGTGATGTGTCTCTCCCCAAAACCCACCTACAATGCTCTCTCTCTCTCTCTCTCTCTCTCTCTCTCTCTCTCTCTCTCTCTCTCTCTGTGTGTGTGTGTGTGTTGGCAGTTCAAATGCAATCTACTACCGCAGGTGGTCACCACAGGTGCCAAACCCCAGATAAAATAGCCCCTGATACTCAGGTCACTGCAGCAGCAGGGCAGTATGAAGGAACTGGGGCCATTCTGGAGAATCCCTGAGGTTATAACAAAGTGGAATAGGATTAAGAACAGCCTCCCAAACAGATGATCGCACTGGCTCCCAAACCCAGCCCTCTACATATTTTTATGTTCCTATCAAAATACATTCTGTTTAACATTTAAGTCCAAATGAAGTTCCTACTGCCCCTAAATTGTTTATTTTTTTTAACTAAAATGCATGAGAAATGAGGGGATAACACCTACCAAAGAAAAACCTAAAAATTAACATTTGCTTTCTCGAAGAACCAAAAGTACAGTTTATGCAGACCAAATTAGAATAAGATTGACCATGTTTAAATTTGACAGTTGATAAAAAATTACAGCCTGGCAAATATTTGCTGGGGAGCTTGAGTGCTCAGTCCCAATACCCACGGTGAATTTAGAACAAACGCTTGATATGGAAAAGTTAGAAAAGATGCAAGAAATAAATGGATAATTGGGCTGCCTCTCGATCCAGAAATTCATCTGAATCAATCTGTGCAGGGAAGGCCAATAAACCTAATAAGAGCTGTGCGTGAGCAGAAGGTAGGAAAGCGATGAGGCCGAAACAATCAATGAAATATTGAGAAGCCATTTGAGAAGAATCGTTAGGTCAAACTTTCCCTTTCGGTCTCAATCTGCAGACACACAGCACTTCAAAGGCAAGCTGACTGTAGCCTACAGAGGACAAAAGAAGACTAAGTATGAATTAGGGCAGGAAGAGAGAACTGCGCAGGTCTCCCACTTGATGAATTTCCCGCAGCGCAATCTCGGGAATATGGATGGCTTCGGATATTCTCATCTGTTTCTGCATGCCTGCCCTGCCAAGGGAGCTCATTTACCTGCCCTCTGAAATCGTGACTACTTTAAAGCACTGCTGGTACCCGGCGCCCAAGTGAGGCGCCACTAGTCCTGAGGAACGATTTCTCACACCACATGGACCTCTGCTCTGGACAATTCTTTAAATCACTTGAAACGTCATCAAAAAGAAAAGGCTAGTTTCATTAATCTCAAAACTATCGGGAAATATCCAAAATGTAAGAAGCTCCCATTGCCTCCGTCGTCCCAACGAGTACATGCTAATAACTATTTGTGAGTTGGCTACCTGCCGGACCCTCTTTTAGGTTTAAGTGCTTGTCCATGAATTAACCCATTTGATTCTCACAACTCCATAAATAGATACTATTATTATCCATATTTCATTCTTAAGGAAATTGAGACTCCAAGAGAGTGTCTAATTGTCAGAGCCAGGCTTATTATGAGGCATAAAATGGTGGTGTTCCTTGATTTCCTTATACCTGTAAGATTAAAAATGCACCCCAGACATTAACTCATGTCACGTACCAACTAAAATAAGGTGTTTAGGTGCATGCATATTTGTGTGTGTGTGTGTGTGTGTGTGTGTGTGTGTGTGTGTGTGTGTGTGTGTGTGTGTGTGTGTGTGTGAGAAAAATATTACCTATACTCATGCCTACAATTTGTGTTCTTAGAGATCACAAAGGTATTTACACAAATTTAAGTTTCTTAATGAGACTAGAGGTCAGAGTGGGTTCCTCAACAGAATAAACATGCTGTTGAGGCTCCAGGACTATAAAGTCATCTACACGAGGTTTTCAGATTTAAATTATATCATTATTTTAATAGCATACGGGTATTTTGCCTGAATGTACGTCTGCACACCTCATGCACTGAAGGCCAGAAGAGGGCAGCAGATACCCTGGAGCTGAATTTACAGATGGTTATGTGCTGTCAAGTAGGTACTGGGACTCAACCCCGAGTTCTCTAGAAGAACAGACAGTGCTTAGTCTCTGGCCTATCTCTGCTGCCCCAAGTTTCAATACTTTGAAACTTGACAATCAGAAAAATAAAAAGTCATAAGAAAAATCCAAGTATGTTGCATTTCTTTGCATTTGCTGTCAGTTAGCATATTCTGGTTTGAGTTTGTGTAATAATTTCTCCTGAGAAGAGTGACAGAGGGGTGGCTTGGACTTTTGGGGGTCTGGGATGCAATACATATTCATATATTCTCACAATCTCCCAGTGGGTACATGTTATAATGAGGGCATAACAGACTGTCTCAGCATCCTGGACTCTGGTGCAGACTAGCAATAAAATGACTTACTCTATATTCTAAAGAGAACACCTGGCATTTGAAACCAAGCATTCCTTTCAGGTCCTCTTTATCAGTCAAATCCACCATACCACCCTTTTTGCCAGACCACAGACCTCACCTGCCAGTGTTATGGGGAATTAGGGATGGTTAGATTCTTTCCTCCTCCCTCTGTCAGAAGATTAGGCCATTTCTAAAGACTGGAGACTGTCAAGTTTTTCTAACTTTTCCAGGAGAATCTTCAGAGCAATAATCTGGCACCCACCACGGTACTGCCATCCAAAGAAAACTGTCCCGGAGCCATCATTTGGAACCTGGGGATATAATACCCTCTTGATGTGTCCTCTGGAATGTAAGGTTAATATGAATTTCTAGCCTAATGCCCAGCAAGTTGCAGAGATTTCTGGGAGATCCAGTGTGTTGCATATGGGAAGAAGCTAGAAGAGTCTGCCCTATTGAGTTCTCTTCAGACAGAAGACCCTACCGGATGCTTTCACCCCTTGTGAAGAGGCACCACGGTGTCCCAAAGCAATGGTGTGCCTGATTCAAAGGAAGGGTTTTCTATGTGAATGCTGAAAAGGCCAAGGGAGCAGAGTCTGTTTCTGCACACAAAGCAATGCAGAGTGTGACATTACCTTCAGAAAACAATGTACAACACAGTGCAGAGACCAGCACCTCACCAGAAAATGCCTTATCAGAGAGAATCTGTCTCAACCAGGGTGAATAGGCCAAGACCCATCCTGGACATTCTACCCATCTTATGAAAATATACTGTGTTCACTTCCTCCCTCCTACCTGACTGACAATAATCCCTCCGTAGGATCTAGAGTCAAAAGGAAAAGAGATATTTCAGAACCCTGTCTCAAAAACACCTCCAAACCAATAAAATCACACACATATTTAATCCAAATAACTGTGAGGGAGAAAAGATTCTCTTTGAAACACGTTTGAGATTAATCTTTTTTAAATGAACAGGACCAGGTCTTAAATACCCAAATGAGACTTTCCTAATAATTGAAAATGGCAGGAAATTAGATGTTGCTAAGGAACTTGCTTCCCTGCAGGTAAGTGGGAATCAACACCATACAGTTGGAAACGAGGAGTAAGAAAACAAAAGTATTTTGTGTTTATATAAA